ACTCCTCCTCCCCACCCCCTTATCTGAAGGTCTGGCTGGATCCGCCACTGCAACTGTAGGTTAATGATCACCCCAAAGTATATCAATTTTGTAACGACTTGTTAGAACCAAGGATATTCTTTGGAGATCTGTACGTCGAAATCTCTTTATCTGTCCTTATCTGTGCCGAGCACTGGACACTTAAGTTATCATAGTTATGGTTGGTCAATATAATGTGCGTTTTTGTTTTATAGGAATTTGTTAGTCTCTCCAAAGAGCTGCTTAACACTCCGTCACTCCATACTCGTCTCATAAACAACGCGAAAACGTACGTCTCCGAGCATCACTCAATCGAAAACGAAAGGAATACATACGAATGGCTTGTGGAGAAACTTGCTTCACTTGAACACGGAAAGAGAACAATAAGCTTAGAGAATTCAGATGAAAGATAACAATAAGAGGTTATGAAAATAATGGCTTGAAAAAAACAGGCGACCGGGAGTCGACATTTCGCGACGCTACGAGGAATGACATCTGAGGACCGAGCGTAGAGATTCCGTACTGATGACTTGTAACTACCGAGATCTGGGTAGTGCTTCTGACTGGTTGAGAATTTGCTTTAACCAATCAGAAGCAAAACCCAGATCTGGGAAGTGACACGTCATCAGTATGGAATTTTTGCGCTTGTTCCTCAGATCAGTCAGGTGTCATTTTGTGAGGAAAGCAATCGTAGCGTCGCAAAATGTCGGCTGTTTTCTCAAGCTATTAATATAAAGGTGTGATATGGTTAATTATTTGTGAGAACGCATCCTCTGTTTACACTAGGCGTTTCCTAAAGTACAGTATATTTGTATTTTCGATACTAATATATTGGACCAAGTTTGGGTTACTTTCGATTGCAAGCTAGTTCCAATTTGCTGCCGAGAATAGCAATATTTTATATATGCTCTATTTAACCACAGAAATATGACAGACGAAAGTGTAATAAAAATTATCTTAGAAACTTTTTCGCACAAATGTAACGAGAACCGTTTTATTTTTGAAACGAGTGTTTTCATGCATTTAGAAACAAATTAATGGCCGAAAAGATTTATTTATCTATCATGGGCTTCCCTCGAAGGAAAAAAGACTGACTATCAAATCGCCATTGAAAAGAAATTCATGCTTTGTTTTTATTTTCGTTTCCGTCTTTGTTGCAGCAAACTCTCTGAGCCAGTAAACTGTGAGACCATTTTTATCTGTACGCTTTTTTTCACCTGAAAACTCAATTATACTTACAGAGAGACGAGAGACGCTTAGCAATAGTATTCGTGCTTCTGACTCGAGAGAATAGGCCATTTGCACGACGGCGTCATTCTAATACTACGACTACTATCCCTACCACCGCCACGACCACGACCACCACCACTACCACTTCTACCACCAGAATCCTTCAGGGTTTTGTTTTCTTGTGCAAATGAGGACTTTTGTTATTTAAACCTCACTAGGATTATGAAAGAAAAAGCGAAACGAATTCTGGTCTAAGTAGTAAAAAGACGTCATCGTGCAAAATATCCAACAAAGCTCTTCAAGTTTGCGCAGTAGCGCAGTGAGGATTGAATACCCCAACCTCATTCCCAGAGGCCTCTTTCTTCCTCCCTTTAGAGCCGGGAGAAAGAAGGAGGAACCTGAAAACGAGGTTGCAAACACTGAAGGAACGAGGGACCAGCTGTGGATCTAAAGTCATGCGCAAAGCAAGGAATGAAACACTTCTACGCACACTCAACTAATTGTCTATATTTTCAGAGAAAAGGGCCGCACAGTTCTGATGGACTCAACCAGATATTTAACCCTTCTTTTACAAGGGACGTTTCGTACTTATACTTAAATCCTTTTTGAGAATTTTACGAACAATTTCTAAGACATTTTAGCCATTCACTATTTTTTTTAAATTTTCCCACTTTTCGGTGACTTTTTCAGACACTTTGAAATAATCTGTCAATGCCAAAAATGAAGAGAATTGTGGGCGGGTTGTATTTAATGTATGAATACGAAGATATTTGCCCAGATAAAGAGGGCGTGAGAATGAGAACATGTATTTTTGTGCACAAACTTAACCAAAGGACTGTTTTCAAATGCTTTTTCAATAATGTTTATTGTACAATCTTTTTCTGAGAGTGTTATAATATAATAACTAACGAGAAGAGATGTTGGGTGGATAAGCTCTATTTACATGAATTTTCAAATGTGAAGTATTGATGTAATGAGAATTCGCAACAACTGTAAAATAAAGTGATGCTGTTTTCCTTGGGTGGAATACGTGTTTTTATTTTTATTTTTTCAGTTTTTAGTATTTTCTTTTTCATACTCAATTAGTGCAACAATGGATGAAATGGAAGCTGATGTGAATTCGTCAAGTGCGGCACTTGTCAGTTTTGGCCGCTTTCGTTTTCGTGCCAGGAAGTTCCTTTCTTCTTTTTGTAAATTTCCTCTCGTTTGCATGTAGACGAGACATTACTAGACATCGTGAACATGTCTTATGGTGTTGTTACACGGGACGATTCGCAACGACGATCTTTAACGCAACACAGCGTTGCAATGTTGGAACAATGTTGTCACCATTTGAAACAATGTCGCAGCAATTTTGCCACCTTGCGTTGCGCTAAAAATCGTCGTTGTGAATCGTAGCGTGTAACATCACCTTTATGCTTCGATTTGCATAGCGGGTACTCAAATTAGGGATCTTAGTATCCCTGTTAGGGGCTACTAGCATACGGGATATTTAGACGAGATTCTGGGATATCGAGTGTCAAAGAAATCGTTTCTGATAGAACAAGAAGTTCAATAATAGAAAGGAAAGATCAGAGAGCTGGAGGAAAAGACAATGAGCTTGTTTGGATATTGACAATATTGAGCCCCCTAGATAGTCCATAAGACGTCACTAAAAGTATTTACCATTATTGAGATCCAAAGCATTGGAATTGACGGGGATCGTTAAGCCAAAAATTAAAGGGATAACGGATATGCCGAGCCCCCGCACCCCCAAGAGCAAAAAACCGTAGGGGATATTAGTGTGAACCGATTGTATCCATCTCTATGATAAAGTAAAAGGAATTTCCTTTAACACAAGCTTGATTAACTCACTGACGGGGTTCCCTTTTAAATATTATTATTGTTATTATCACCATCATCATTATTTCAGCATCGTAAAAGCTCCGTGCAATAGTTCGGAAATTCCCTTTTCGCAAAGTGACGACTTTTTGTTGGTGCAGTTGATTTGATCGCCGAATAACGTTTTACGAAAACACCATTAATACAGTCAATAATACCTACAACAGGCTCCATAGCTATAAGCTTACAGTACCTATCTACAATAAATGTACTTATCCATTTCACTCTCATCCACCCCCCGCCCATGCCGGGTCAATTAAAGCAACACAATAACAACAACATCAACAACAACAGCAAAACTAATAAAGAACTCAATGGTGCAAATCATTTGAATGCAAAAATAACGTTATACGAAAACACTATAAATACGCCAGTAATACCTACAACAAAGTCAATAGCTTCTAACTAATAGTACCTATCTACAATACATGTATTTTACTCTCTCCCACGTCCCGCCCATACCGAACAACAACAACAACAATAATAACAAAAGCTAATAGAGAACTAAACGAAGTGTCATGTAATAACAAAGTTAAAACAAAATAAATCAATATTTAGCTCTGTAATCCTCAAATATAGATTGATGAAATTATACTTAACAGACCATATTAATGTGTATAGGATTGCTCTTGGGAAAGGTCTCGGGATTGTTGCAATTAGAGTTTTACTGAGTGACTCAATAAGCACCGATTATAGAATTAAATGAGAGCGGCTGCAAAGTAGGGAAAGACGCGCAGAAAGTCTTCAATGTGAGGTTGCGCAAACTCTAGGTCGCAAAGGGGCGCCAATCGGAGGAGTTTACAGCAATTCGCCCACAGATCGAAATGGTAAATCTAATAAAAGGTGATAATGGCCACGCCTTTCTGAAAGGGGGAGCATGCCAAGGTCCGTGTAAAAGTGTTCACCCACTTTGCCAAGCCTGGAGTCTGAAATGCTGGAAAATACTACATTAGTTACATTCATGACCACAAACTGATAAGGCAAAACTTCAAAAACAATTCTATTTATTTTATAACAAGTCATCTTTGGACCGATGATTGACGTAGTCACGCCTCGTTACCAAGGAAACCGTTGTGCTTGACGACCATTCACTTGAGAACACGGTTGAGGTCTTGGATCCCGGTAAACTGGAAGGAAAACTGTCAACATAACCGAAACATAGGCTGCACCCTGCGTGAAAATATCCTCTTTGTAACCATTTGTCATTATGTATCAATATTTGATTTATATAAATGATGTAAACTAAGGGAAAAAATTGAATCAGTATTAGATTCTTCGAAGTTATCCACCTACCCCTCCCCCAAATCCAACATAAACACTAACTTGTCACTTAAGACAAACTGTTGGATTAGGGGAGAGGTGAGTGCGTAGTTTCTCTGAATCTGAACTCTATCGTAGAGCTCACAGAGCCTTTTACTTATTAATCATTTGCTATTATTCATTGATACATTAATTAATATAATATCAACTAAGAGAGAAAAAGAATTTCGTGGAGTTTAGTGATTCGTATTACTGAACCCTTGCGCAAGCTCCAAAACCTTCAAGTGCAACTTTAGATCGCTGTTTTGTAACTCCAAGGCATTCAAATAGTGTGAAAGGGCTTCCTTCTTCTTTCCTTCATGCTCAAGTCCGCTGCAAAATAAAATGTGTCATGACCAGAGTATTTTATGAGTAAAAGAAAGCAAGAAGTGGGGGAAGGAGGGGATATGCAAAGTTGTCACACTCTTCACTCAAGCACACGCTCCCCCTTAAGTTTCTTATATAAAATAAAGTAATACATTTGCGGGCAAACTATAACCATCTGACTGGTTATAGGACCACTTTCTAAATAAAAGACAAGATGCCTCTCCTCAATACAAGCCACACAGACCGCGAACACAGACATTTACGGGGAAAGGCAATTATCAAATTGTATCAAGTCACCAAGTTTTCCCTTAATTTATAGCTCACCGTTCCTTAAATGTACTGGATTACGAGTAGTCCCCATTTTTCCTCAGAGATAATAGAGCGAGCGAAACGCGAGCGCGCGTGAAAATCACCCGTCTCGCCTTTCTCGCGTGGAGTGATTTTCACGCGCGCTCGCGTTTCCCTCGCTCTACTATCCCTGAGGAAAAATGGGGACTACTCGTAGTCTATAAATGTACACAAAAATGATAGTTTCATGTCAGGTTCATCCATAAAAGTTACTTTTGAGAAATTAGTTTGTTTAATCCAATGTTTAACGTTTGTCGTAAACGCGATTCTAAATCTCTATTATATATCTCACGTACATTTGAAGGAAAATGTCAATGAAACAAACCTTCCATCGTTAATGTAGGCGTCATATGTTTCTTGCTCTTTACTGCTGACTAGACAAGCGCACCTCTGTATCTTGATGTTCTCAGAAACATGTTCGCCTGTGGGACATAGATCTGCTTCGGGCTGAGCATTTGAAGTACTATCATCTGACAACTGACTAGACTCTTCAAGTCTGGAAAAGAAAGAAAAAGAGCACGAAAAATAAAAGACAGCTTGTTCCAATAGTGAGTCATTCACTTCCTGAAAAAAAGAATCGTAGCAAGGTCGCCAGCAATTTTAGTTCTGGGGAAGTTATAACAGTGATTGCAGTGTTGGAAACTCTAAAAGTGTACAAACATATATGTAAATACGCTGCGTTCCGTTTACAGTTTACATTCGTTAATCAAGGCTAACTGTACAACTGGCAGCGGGTTAACGAGTATGGGAAACAAATAAAGCCCGGGGAATTCCTTTATAACAAAGAAAACAGTTTCAGAAAATTCCCTCGCACTTAGTCTTAAGCTGCTTTCTAAAAAAACAACCTGGGGATGTCTGCAAGAACGGAAGTTGACAGACTATAACCCTTCCCAACAGAAACAAAATGCTTATCACTCACGTTTGTTTTCCGAGTGAAGTGTCAGAAAGATAACTTTCACTCCTCGACGAATTGTCCTTCATCGAGGTCATGCTGTCGTTTTCAATACGAAGGGAATTAAACTCCTCCTCCAGACCCTCCCCCTGGGTCTGTTCCTCTGGATCTAAAAGATCTTTAAGTAACAAATGGCTTATGTCATTGGGAGACTGGTGTGAAGGACCTCGCACAACATCTCCCCTCTGAGGTGTCTGTTCTCGTGCTATGATATCTGTGAGTGATGGTAGGTGATTATCTTCCACAGGGGACTTGTGAGGGGAGAACTGCTTACGATCTGGAGTGCACAAGTCCAAGGAAATGTGCTTTTGTCCAAACAAAGGCGTCTTCTCTAGTTCCTCCTCCTTGTCTGTATCCACGCCCTGGTCATTTTCCACAGGGGACGGATGGGTGGAGTTTTTCACAGGACTTGGTGAACACAAGTCTACCACTGCGGGGTTGGAAACAATAGGATTCGCTGTAGTCTAAAGAGTAAATCAAACAGTCCAATTCAGTGCCGCTTGTACCCCTCCCATAGACATAAACACGAATTTTCATAGCGGAGTATAGATTGTTTTCACATGACGTCACGGCGGCCATCTTGGTGTCCCAAAACAATGAAATGGCCATGTTGGTTTCCTAAACAAATCCTGAAGGAGTTAAACTCTTCTTATGCAAACGCTTTCTTTTGTTCAATAAATTTGCATAGATGCTGGCCACGTGAGTGAAAAGGCTTTATTAAACCATTAGATCCTTAGTAAAAAAGGAAGGTACTGTTAACTACTAACACTTTTTTTTTCTGGGGGGCAGGAGGTTGGGGGAAGGAGGGTGTAGAACAGACGTATAACGAGCCATAGCTGTAAAAAAATAGCAATATATTTTGCATTCATTTGCTGTATATAATCGTAAAGCTGAAAATAATTCAGATTCGCAAACTGAAGTGTGTCTCTGCTGAAACGTTAGCTCTGCTGGATAATAAAACGTACAAGAGAAGGATGGGGCTGTTGAAAACCTAAAGATCCTAAGAGAGGAGGGCCATATAGCGTGCTTTGGCCGATGTCTACGTGTATTAGTTCATAAAATGCCCAATTCTAACCTTAAGCACTTGTCTTGGTTGAAATCGCTTGGTGTCTTGTTGTTTGGGAACAATGAATCTTTCACTGTCGATTTTTGCTTGAATCTTCTGCCTTGCGCTCATATTATCTTCATTAGCAGATGGTGAATGGCGCAACCCCTGGGGTAAAGCCATGTCCCCTGGGGGAATACCGGAAGCGGGATGTGAGTTACCAGACCGGATTTGTCCTGAAAGCCTCGCTTCAGCTGCCATTAAATTCTGGGCACGAAGAACCTGTGCAATAAAATAAAACAAACCAAAAGGGTGATCAGATTGAGATACCCTCTACTGTTTGTTATAAGTCGAGGACATGTGATTGAAATAAATTATCCTGGGGTTGGATAAACGGCTCGAAATCTTGAATCTGGAAAATATGATCTACGGAGATTGCGACAAGGCAGGAAGAGGGAAGGTGGAAGCTTATCATTACTAAGGTGATGTTACACGAGACGAGTTTTGGGCAACAAAGTTGAAACAATGTGGTAACAATGTTGCAACGCTAAATCGTCCCGTGTAACATCGCTTTTTAAGAAAAAAGCGGAAATTTGTTAAGGCCTAGTTCACACACACGACGTAAGCAAAATTAACATCGTAATTTTTAAGCAACAAAAGAGTCTGTAAGTGGGACATTTAACTTAAGATATACTTAAGACGTAACCTCAAACGCCAGTCAAACTCTTTCAGTATTTCAACTTCACTCGTTACGTTCTAAGGCAACTGGCCGGGGCCATTCACATAACATGGCATGATTTGGCCTGAAATAGGGACAATATTTGGAGAGCCAGGCAGTACACCCCCACAAGTAATTCCTTACAGTAACCCTTCCCCTCCCCCCACAGCCATAGTATCTACAGCATTGGATCAAAAGACAACAGTCATTCACTTACTCTGGCTTGTACAGCATCATCATCGGCACCAGTGCTTAACTCGTCTGTTGTGTCTACTTCTTCCTGGGAGTACATTAGGTCGTGGTCACTTATGCCGAATATATCTACAAGTAAAAAGGGAAAAAGAGTTTTAAGTCTCATATCAGAAACTCATAAGGGGTCGAATCAACCCCTTATGAGTTTCTGCTCATATCTAATAGGCCATTTTAAGCTTGCTTGGGAGACTGGGTTCTTGTTGCGTTGAATTGCACTATGGGACTGTTTTAAGAGACGAATTTAAACCCAGTTTCCTGTGCAACTTTGTACTGATTAGCCAATGAAAGAAGCGATAGTGTCCTTAAACAGTCCTATGGTGCAATTCAGAACAACACAGACCCAGTCTCCCGCGCAAACTTAAATAGCGGAATCACACTGAGGCTCTAGGTCTTATTGCTGGTTTGCAGGGGACGTCACGGGCGCCATGTTGGTGGTCAAGGACAAAGCATTTCTCTCTCTGGGAAATAAAATCCATTTTTATGTAAATTCTTCGAAAAGGAAAACCAACATGGCCGCCTCATCACGTGGTTGCAAACCAAAAACAAGGGGTAACCCTGTGACTGACTGTCGTCCTATCCAGTAACAAATTTCTTATTAAGCTAGGTAAATCGGGCAACAAAAACGTCCGACATGTTTTGCAGCATTGCTACCAAACGACTTGAAAAGCGATGTTGCACGTTTTACCAGCAACGTTCAAACCTGTTTTGCAAGCAGCAACAAATGAGCTTGTTGCAAGTTGCGTGAATACTGACTTCTAATTGGGTAAAATTAAGCGGGAGTCGAGCCATACAAGTAAATTACGTCACTTATTGCAAAACAAGTTTGCGTTGGGCTGGTAAAACGCGCAACATATACTGATTTCGTTGCAACAAAATAGAACTTCTCTCTACTTTCTGCAACCCTTTTCCGCAACCTGTAACAAACTGATTTGTTGCAAGATTCGTAGGTAATCAAACACGCAACGTCGCTATTCGACTCGCTTTGGAGCAATCTAACAGAACAAGTTGTACGTTTTTGTTGCCTGTTTTACCGCAGCTTTACCCGCTTCACCAACAAAAAGAATGTAAGCCTCCCGTGTTGCGCGTTATATATGCGTTATTGACCAAGTGCGAGGTCAAGATGGTTGGATATTATCAGAGCGCAGGATTCTTTTTATCTTGCCAGCTCGGGTAGCCAATCAAAATGCTGGATTCTGTTCATCTTGCCTGCTCGGGTAGCCAATCAGAACGCTAGATTCTTTTTATCTTGCCCGCTCGCGGGTTCAGCCATATAATAAGATATAATTGAGCTGAGTTGGCATGGCGTTATCACTGACAGACGGTCACATTAGAACTTACTCAGCGTGTGTATGAATTCAATATGCTTGTCCAGCTCTGCATCAGTTTTCCTGTGATGCGCATGCATTTGTTCCAGCTGCATTTGCGTTGTAGATGTGTACGGATCGTCCAACGTAAAAAGGTCTCGAAGTTCCTGATTTGTAAAATACCTGAAAGTTACACACAAAAAAAACACCGTTAGAATAACTGCTTTTAGTACATTTAGTATATAGTATACATGTATAAACTGTGACAATAGACGGATCGAAACACACCAATGACATTTCGAGTCCTTACAGCCCATGACATCACGGCTTAACCGACAGACGACCAATAACATCGCGACTTAATTGACCAATCAGGTCAATAACAAGAGTTTATTACCATCACCTGCCGTGACACAACTCATTTTGACTCTGAAGATGACTACCGCACAGGTTGTCGAAACGTTACTTACTGTCAACAACAGTCCTATTCACGACAACATTCACCAGGACCATCATACCCTACCTACTTAGGAAATGACTCCTGAGTTCAAACCTTTCACAGTATACAACCTATTAAAACGCCAATACAGCTCTTACTATTAAGTGACGTTTTTATTTACAACATAAACTTACTTATCGTTAAGTGTCACGCATAAATCTACACTCACGAGTGAGTTCAAGAAGGCGGAATATTGGCTTCGTGGCAAAATCAACGAAGGCAACCTTCTGTCATCTTGATCACCCAAGATTGGTTAAAAGATAATTTCATGTGTGGCAAAAAAAGCGGGTTTGCTCGCTCGCCGGGATGGCCAATGAGAACGCAATATTTGCTTTATCTTGCGCGCTCGCGGACCTGGCCAGTATTAGTGAATATGACCCTAAAGTGTGTACAGTAATGTTAAGGTGATGTTACACGATACGATTCGCAACGACGATTTTTAGCGCAACACAGCGTTGCAACATTGTTCCAACATTGCAACGCTGTGTTGCGCTTAAATCGTCGTTGCGAATCGTATCGTGTAACATCACCTTTACCTGAAAGGATTCTTGGAAACACCGGTGGTTTGCTTCATGAGCGCGTCTTTAAAAATCTGCTTTCTGTAGATCTTCTCCTCCAAAGTGCCGCATGTAATGAGCCGGTAAATCACCACAGTCTTCTTTTGTCCGATGCGGTATACTCTGTTTAAAAAACCAGCTCGAGTGGTTAGCTATGACAGAAATTGCTGGACGAAGTAGAAAGTGTTTTAACCCTTTAAGCCCCAACATCAACATGCATCTTCTCCACACTGTTCTTCATATATTCTTTATGGTACTGCTTGAGAGAATTTGTTCTAACATCACAACATTTCATCTTTGGTGATCATTTCATTAATTCTCATGACCTGTCTGTTGATCAGGCAATGTTATTGTTGAGAGAAATTGGATGTGGGTCACCATTGGGGCTTAAAGGGTTAACATGACAAGCATCGCATGTTACAGTTCATTACTACGGGCTCACTACTGTTGCTAGGGTTGAAGAAGTGTTTACTCATTGCGATGGCCTTGGAAGTTGACACGTCTTTCCTCTTTTATATAGGGGTGTTTCATTGGCAAATGGTCATAAATTTATGATGGGAAATGATGACATATACCCTTTGATACAAAGGCTCCTGTTTTTTTTTTCATTGAAAACACGAACTAATCTAGATATATCGTTTGAAAAAGTGGTATGCAGCGCTTTATACGGTTTGTACCACTTACAGCACACCCAGACCTGATCGCTTATGTGGTGTGAACGCGACTTAAGGTGGATTACCACTGTCGCGTAATTTCTACCTGCGCATGCGCGTGACATTTACGTGCGTCAGTAAAGTAGAGGCGAAATAAAAAAGGTCGCGCGTTATGTAAAAGTTGACCGAGGTCCAACTGTTACGTTTATGCACCACCTTCCATACATAGACTCTATTTCATTTACGCCGGTATGCACGTAAAAATTACGCGACAGTGGAAATCCACCTTTATCTACCCGACTTCCTAGAATCTCACCTATCCACCGCTTGTGCGTCTGTAGCCGGATTCCAGCTGGGATCAACTGCGTAAAGAAATAAGGATTTTTCATCACCGTCCCAAATAAACACTCAGTGTTCTACTTTTCGTCCAAAAGCGTTACGAACAATCACCAACTGCGGGTGGTAGGGTGAATTTCTTAAGCGAACACTCAGAGAAAAAACCTCAAGCTTAACTGCAACGATCATAGTGGCATAAGCGCCGTACGTATTTCTCTTCAAGCTATGAAACTGCTCCTTACGCTCTTAGAAACCTGAACAACAAGCTGTATTCTTGCAATCAACAAAGCAGCTGAAAGGAAACGTAACATGCCCTAGTGCTCGTAACTTCCCGAATTTGACGAGAGTGTCACGTTTTCTTGAGCGTGCTGAGGCTGTGCTTTTGTTGCCCTTGCTTCGAAAACTGATTGGTTGATAGCAATGTTGGTCATGATACGGAAAAATCGGACTTACAGATCACCACGCGATCAGCCGACGTCAGTGTGATGCCTACACCTCCCACCTGAAAACAAAAATATATAAATAAATAAATAAATAAGCTAGTCTCCATAACCCGAGGTTTGCGTGCGGGAGAGACAAAATCGAGAATTTAAGGTAATGGTCTACCCGTATTCGCTATTTGCCGGTTCTGTTTTGGCTACTGTTTTACTCTTGCCTCGTAGTCAACAACACTCTTGGTGTTATTACTTACGGACAAGGAAATCAGATATAAAATGAAACGAGGACGAGAAATAAGTTGCATTTACAGTCAACGAATTGGGCAAAACAGCCGGAGAAGAAACGCCCTTACTTTTTCTCTCTCCTTAATTCCTATTCCTGCTCCCTTGTCCCCAATATGACCTTTCTAGTTTTCCATGACCTTAAGTTTAGCTGTCATTTTCGAAAACTTCCAACACTTTACTTGTTTTAGCGTATTTTTTGACCTTAAACAGTTCAACACCACCAAAATACGTGCCGTTCGCACCTTGCTTTGTCATCTGCAGTAATTAATCTACCAAACAAAACTTTAATTTTCCATGACCTTTAAGGACCGACAATTAAATTCCGTCAGATTTTCCAGGCCTTCAAAATGAAATTCTTAAATGCCATGACCTGTACGAACCCAGTGGCATTGATAAAATATAAATTTATATTGCTTTTGTGTGTGAGTGTGTGTGTGTGGGATACAAACCTGCGTGGTGAGAAGGAAACAAGAGTAAGATGGGTCAGTTTGAAATGTGTTGATCAAATGCTGACGCTCTGCAGTCTTTGAAACTGTCCCGTCGATACGAAGAACTTTGTGACCCTAACAAGAAAAATAATTCGTTGTTCTAAGACATATGTTAACTGTTCCGGACAACTCAGTCTAAGGGCCTGTTTACATGGAGGTAGGGGACCCCAGGTAGGTGAGGTAACCCGCTTAGGTGGGGTAACCCGCCCGTCCATATAATCTCTCTTGACAGGTAGGGTGACACGCCACATGTTACCTCACCTATCTGGGGTCCCCCACCTCCATGTAAACAGACCCTAAGGCGGGCACTGTTAGGACCCGACCTAAGTGGGCGTAGAGCCCGGGGGTACACCAATAACGTCTAACACGGGGAGGCTCTGTCTGAAAGGGGTATCTTTTTCAGGCTTCAGATATATCAAACGGTAGGGAATTCACATGTTGAAGTATATGAAAGGGTAGCAAAATAAATCATTAAAGTATTCAAAAAGGTCTTTTATTTAAAACGCTAAGAAAAGATACGCCTAATAGCTATAACATTTTAATTTATTAAAATGGTACACGAAAATGACAAAAGAACTTTTATTATTATAAGTAGGTATGTTAAAGGGGTATAGATTTTCAATGGAAGGTATACGAAATGGGGTACCTTTTCATGGTACATGAAAGGGGAAGAGGTTGGACCTCGGGGCGGAGTCTTCCAGTATAAAGGTTTGTTGAGTATCCCTTCAGGGTGAAGAGGGGTGTCCGCCTGACAGAGAGCCTGCTAGCTTGAAATAACTGATGAAGAATGGCAGGAAATTGGTGTCTGTTTTAAAAGAGCTCTGTGAGCCGGAAAATTTATCGAAAACTTCACGCAAGAGATGCTAGTCAGTTGCTGCTGTCTCTCATGGTACTACGGTTCGAGGCTGTGGGTGAACACCTAAGCATTAACTTCAAGTAAAAGCAACTAAAAAGGACTTTTCTTGTTTTTGTGCTTTTCTCGCTCTCTTAGTCTATATAATAGGATTAGGGAGAGCGAGAGGGAGAGCGGAAGAGGATGGAAAACGCGAGGTACTGCTTCTGTCGCTTTTTCCCTCTTGCGTTTTCGCCCTCTCAAACCTCCCCTGCCGTTAGCGCCTGGTACGCGCTTGAAGTCCGTGTGTGGCTCCGGGTATGTGGAATCCTACAACGCGCAAATGGAAGCTGCTGACCATTACTTCCTGTCAGGAAATCTCAAAAAAGCAACTATCATTTTACGTTGGGAGGGTCATTATGCCATCCATGGTGGTTCTAAGTTCTTCTTCTAAATAAACTTCCCAGTCTATAGAGGTGCCAAAGAAGTGTGGAAGAGTGATTATTCATAAACAAAGTGTACGCAGTAGTATTTTACTGTGGTGTCAAAGAGGATAACGTTCATACCCCATGAGTGATAACTCGCTGAATAATGTCCAACATCTTTCGCGACTGACTGAACACCAGACACCTGTGGCCTTCAGACTTGAGATTATTCAACAGGGAAACCAGGAAGACCATTTTCCCTGATTCCTGTGTGAGAACCCTGTCAGAAGGACCCAAGCCTTTTGGCTGGGTGGCAAATGATGGTGCATCTTGGTCAGCAGCTGAGTCCAGTTCAACGAGCCTAAATGAACCAAAAAAAAAACGAAATACTCTAAGAACACTTGCAAAGCAGAAGGAGACAAAGATTTCTTTCTTTAGATTTTGTTTCTCGTTGTCCGGTGAATCAACTAACATTAAACAAACTAACTTAACGCTTTTCTTTTAGGAGTAAGAGCAATGATCAGGCAGAGTTTGGGGCACTGACGTGAACCTTAATGGTATTACGACATTTGCTTACATTTCACACGTCTAGGGATTGAGGACTAGAGTTTGCGTGGCAGCCCGAATTCATTTCCGGGTCTCACCCCGTCCCTTGTCCCTCTTATACATAGCAAACACATTTGTTCGGACGGTCCTTAGACGGTTCATAGGAGTTAGGAGCTAGCGACTTCTGACCTCTTTAACCGTACAGTCACCTACGAAGTTATGTTTTAGCTTTTGATTCTTAAAGTACCATTCAAACGAAACCTCTTTGGTAGAACTGTTAAATGATGCTATTTAAGGGAAGTGTCTGTCTGTATGCCAGTACGCATGTGCGTACCTATCAAAATGTCGAAGTAGGGGCAAAGGAACATAACGGTAAATAAGGGAAAGGTGAAAAACGGTGTACAGTCAACTCTCTCCTTGCGGACACCTCGCTATAACGGACACCCCGATAATACGGACAGTAGCTATATCCCAGGCAAAAATCATCTACAGACGTTTGACTGAAATAAATTCCCGCAATTACGGACTCTCGCTAATGAGGATACTAACTCGAGGTACGTACGGTGTCCGCTATAAAGGGACCTGACTGTAACTGCCTATTCGTTCGCCACTTTAGAAACAAGAAGGGAACTGGAGCAGAAACTCGCCCCGCAATTGTTTCTGGGAACGTTACTGGGGACGCGCCGCTCAGCTATTGGCTAATTTTTTTCCCTGTCCTAAGCAACAGTCCCAGAAGTCTTTGTGAACGTTAACTCGGCCCAGCTTCCTCATTTCTACAGTGGCGAATGTAACTCCGCTTTCATTGTTTTCAGATAATGTTTCAAAACAAAATCACCAGAGTGAATACGATTTGGGAAACGGTGTATGGCTGATTTGGAAAACTGCGCGTACGTCTGGAATATTTCTAGCTACGTTCCTGTAGTTGTTTCGCACAGGTTTAAAAAAAAAGTTTGATCATTTTTCATTGATGGATTTCGATTCAGCGGCTGAAATGCCGTAACAAACCTGTCCTCTTCATCCAATCCCAGCTGCTCACAGGCAAGAGTGGAAAGCAGGCGGGGGTGATCACAAATCTTCTTTAAAACATTCAATTCAGCTAATGGTGAACGGGTGCTCATCAACAACTGAGAGAGTGAAAAAAGAACGGAGGAAAAATTAGTGTGAGGGGGCTATCTCAACTGTCAAACGGGGCGGACCCCCCTCCCCTCACCACACACACACTACCACGACAATCATTGCTAAAACCTGTTTTCGGAGGGGGGGGGGGGAGGAAATAAAAAGGATTTGGTGGGAGCCGGAGCAGTGGAGGAAAAACAAAACCAATCCAAACGCGGGGGACCGGCAATTGGTATTGATCCACCTTTCCCCTTCTCCTTCCAACTCCTAACCTGTGTACAGGCCCCCTCCCCTACAACAAAGGGAGGGAGCGGCTGTACACAGGATACCGACTCACTAGATCGTAATCAAATGGGTTATAAACGCAGTCGGAAGAAAATGGAAACGTTCTGATTCTTTCGACTCCGATTTAATCGTATGACTCCGTTTACAACTTTGATTTTCGATTTACACCATTAGGTCATAAGTGCTCTAACGACTCCGTTTACGACTCCGACTCCGTCGGCTGTCAGTTAAGGCCGGTTGTCGTTAGTGACCGTCGCTAGTGACAGCCAGCCTTAAGTGATCGTCAAGGGTTAGAGACTGATGTGATTGGAGCGTTTTACCGGCAAAAAAACGCACACCGGACATTTGAATTGACTAACAACTTGGAGTTTAAAAGGGTTAAATCGCTCACTCGAAAGGAAATATAGTCTGACTTGCTGTGTCAAATCCCGCTTGAAGAATATCAGTTATATTTAAAGGAAATGTGCTGGTATTGTTTAAAAGCATACCTCTTTCACTCGTTCAAGACCGAGGAAGTCCTTGTATATTTTCTGCTGAGTATCAGACATGTGCAGCCAGATTATAAGGTCGTTCTTTCGAGTTAACGATTGTGGCATTCTGAAAGGAAAAGGAAACAGAATTGAGTAAGCAAAGTAAAATTGTGGCCAACGTATGTGTTTGCAGCTTCCGTCCAGTCCACACTTCGAGAACGATGTAGTGATCAGAAATTTTAAAAACTTCCCCAAGAGTCAACAAGTTCATAAACGGATAAATATCGTTTCTGGCCATAAATGAACGAATTAGTGTGGACAGGATCTATTCACA